TATTTGATTAACAGTGGTCTGTATATTTTGGAAGGTTATTGAAGAAATTGAAGAAATGATGCAGGAATCACCGGACCCAGAAGATGACGAAACCCCCACACAGTCAGATCGGCTTTCAATGCTTTCCCAGGAAATTCAAACTCTTAAGAGGTCTAGCACAAGCAGTTATGAAGAGAGTAAGACACCCTACTTAAACCAGTGCTTTTTGTACTTTTTGCCCATATCAAATGTATACTGTGGCCATCTGCAGAAAGCTTTGATTCTCACAGGCTGGGTTACATAGCCTTGCCAAGCCCTCTGGTAATATTCGGGACATATTTTTATCATCACTTAGGGACTGTGTCATATTTACCTTGGAACCCTGTATTAGTTTGCCAGAGCTACCTTAACAAAGTACCACAGACTGACTGGCTTAAACAATAGAAATTTATTTTCTCAGAGTTCTGGAGGCTAGAAATCTGAAATCAAAGTGTTGACAAGGTTGATTTCTTCTGAGGCCTCTGTCCTTGGCTTGTAGATGGCTGTCTTCTCCCTGGGACTTCACCTCATCTTGCCTTTATACGTGTGGTGTCTGTGTCCAAATTTCCTTTTATACGTAGAGCAGTCATATGGGATTAGGCTCACCTTAAGGACCTCGTTTTAACTTAATTACCTCTATAAAGACCATATCTCCAAATACTGTTATATTCTGAGGTACTGGGGGTTAGGACATTAACATATGAACTTTTGGGGGGACATAATTCCCTTCAGTCCGTAACATACCCCATTGCCATCACAATTCATAACGTAGAATAGATATTCAGTAATTATTTGTTAAAAATAACTCCTATCTGTATGAGTAGTTGTCTTGCCTGTTACTATGAAGAAATTTGGAACTGTGGATCTGTTTGACGTACGTGAGAATGATGAACTCTAGAAACTGTACAGTTGGCTGTCATGGAAAGTTTCTGAGTAACTGTAACCAGCCTGTGCATGTCCTGAGGCTGAGTGTCCTCCTAATCACTGCCATATGACTGGTCCCCTCCTCGAACAGACACTAATGGGGTCTACATCTGCTCAACTCATGCTATTACCTAATTTTATGTTTATGGCATGACTAGAAGTCTGAAGCTTAGTTACTTAAATCCCTTTGTGTCTTGTGGCAGCTTTTCAATTTACGGAAGGTCAGACAGACTAAATTCTTCTGGAAGGTCTGACTTGACCATGGTGCTGTAGATATGGGGTTAGCATTGTTGGAGTTCTGATTCCAAAATACAGTCCTGATACCCAATACAGATACCAAAATATGTATTGGTTTGCTCAGACTGCCAGAGCAAGGTACCACAGACTGGATGGCTTAAACAGCAGAAATTTATATTCTCACAAGTCTGGAGCCCAGAAGTCCGAGATTAAGGCGTTGGCAGGTCTGGTTTCTTCTGAGGCCTCTCTGTTTGGCTTTCAGATGACCACCTTCTCCTGGTGTCTTCTGATAGTCTTCCTTCTGTGTGTGCCTGTGTCCTAATCTCCTCTTTTACGATCCCAGTCAGATTGGATTAAGGCCCAACCTAATGCCATCATTTAACTTTAAAGCTCTTTAAAGAGCTCATCTCCACATTCTGAGGTACTGGCGACTGGAACTTCAACAACGTCCTATCTCTCGCATGAGGGGAGGTGCTGACAAAAGACTGAAATGGGGGGTTTCAGGAAATATTTTCCCTTTCATCTTCCTTCACAAATTGGGGCCTATGTGATTAAACGTGTATTTAGTTTAATTTTCTCAAATCCACTCCTCTCTTCAGAGGTGTCCCAGAGCCCTGCTCCATTGCTCGCCATTTCCTGTCAGCAGGTAGTTTCTGTGTTCTCCCTCTGCTTTTGTGTTTGTTCTTTTCCTCCTACAAGCTTTCTTAGTCTTGACTCAAGTACTATTCATGGGTTGATTTATTTACACAATTAAAAAATTTTTGTTACACGTTTCTTCTCAGCTAGCTGAGAAGTGACTTTGCCCACCTCCCTCTACTCAGACCTGCCCTCCAGAAGTTTTAGGCATCTGAGAAGATCACAATCAATTTAATTGCTTGAAACATAATTTTTGCTCTTTGGCATAAAACACCCTATTTTGCTCCCTTGAAACGTTTTTGTCTTAGTATCTTCTGTACTTTGTTTTTGGTCATAGGAGTAAAAAGGCTCTCAGTGTCTGAATTAAATGAACTGCTAGAGGAAATCGAGACTGCCATTAAGGAGTACTCTGAGGAGCTGGTGCAGCAGTTGGCCCGGCGAGATGAACTGGAGTTTGAAAAGGAAGTGAAAAACAGCTTTATTTCTGTTCTTATTGAAGTGCAAAACAAACAGAAAGAACACAAAGAAACAGCCAAAAAGAAAAAGAAACTCAAAAATGGCAGCTCTCAGAATGGGAAGAGCGAGAGAAGTCATATGCCTGGCACAGTAAGTGATGTTTCGCAGGAGGCATCGGGCACCGGAAGTGGGTTTCGTGGCCGGTCGTACGCGGGCAGGAGTGTTGTGCTTCTAGCTGGGGCGCACGGGGAGTCTATTCCAGAACACACCACTGTGCCCAGCTTCTTCAGTGGGTTGTTTTCTTAGTGAGGGTTATAATGGTTATCTGAATATTTTAATACTGAAATGTTTAGGAGGGAAGGAAGTGGAAAGAAGAGGAGAATGTCGTAAAAGAAGCTTTAGCAAGTGACCATTTTTTTTACTGCTTCCAAATATTAATAGTGGTTATTTCTGTTTGGCTGGTTTTATTTTATCAGTTTTGCTTAACTCTTATGAGTTGCATAATAAGAAATTAAAAGGGGATTCTTTTAGAGATAGCAGAACTGTGCTGAGCCTAAAGACAGAGACTGATTCGTAAACAGGTTCTTCCGATTTATCAGTTAGGTTGGAATGTGAGGCTGTCAGTGGCAGTTATATAACATTAGCCATTTGGCCTATCATTTTTCAGACTAGAATATTAGTGACTGGTTAAAACAAGTTTAGAATATTTGTAACTTCGACCCCTTTGTATAAGGATTTTTGTTTTCTGCTCTTTTCAGTTTTCTTAAGTGATTAAGTCTCAAGTTTTAATTATATGGATAAATTTCGTCATAAACATTAACTGTAAATTATACAAGATGCATTTCCTTATTAATTTTATGGCCATTTCATTTTTCTGTATAGTGTCACCTTGATTTTGTTCGTGTGAAGAAATGTTGGTTTTATTTTTAGTGTATAAAAAGAAATCTGTTTTTCTAAAGGAAACATCTCTTTTTAATTCATGATATTGATAACATGGTAATACAAATCACAAACTGGCTATTACGGCTTGTAATAATCTAAATTCTGTCTTTGATTAAGTCTTGATTTATTTTTTTCTAAAGAATACTTACTAGAGAAATAGATGTCATTAACTAAATGCTGATGGAATCCTAGAAAAAGGATACAGTTCTAGGTTGGTAGGCCACCTGTGAGGGGCTAATATAAACAAAAAGAGTCTTACTGTGTAGCCCATTTATTATACCGTTATTAACCTAGGAATAAATCCACATTTTCTTAATGTAATGTCCATTTGTACCTAGTTAGAAAGGGCATAGCTTATATGTTGACTTTGAAAAAGTTCTCAGGTCTTTTATTTTTGAAAAGCGGCAGTATTGATTGAATAGGTGTTTATTTAGTTACTCCAAGCAACGACTCTGAGACCGCCCCCCCCACATTTGTTTGAATATACAATCTTGGAAAATTTGCTTTAAAATATCATAGACAATATTTTACATTTGCATCTCACATTTTAAACAATTACATCCTTTAAATTACCCTGTTATACAAGTGGGATTGAATAAAATGCTTAGTTAAAAAGTCATAGCATGGTTGGTACTTTCTACCTATTTGCTTTTAGGGATTACATGTAAATCCTCCATTTATTGGTGTTAACGCTTGGCTGAGAAAAGTAAATTTATCCCTAGAGGGGTTTAAAGGCTTCTTTTTGTAACTCCCATGTAAAAAGGGATAGAGTAAACCCATTGTAATTTTACATGGCATTTATATTGAGAAATGGATTTGGCAAGGCAAGAGTTAGGTCTTACTTGAACCTTCATTAGTCTTGAAATAAATTCATAGTAAGAGTAATTTTTTTCATAGTATTTGAATTTCTGAAGTTGCTTCTTGAGTCCTGACTTACTGTTTGTGTCAAAAATTTTAATCAGGACAGTAATGGCATGACTAAGCTTGTGGTACTCGTTTTCTGTATCTTTTTAAAACTGAAAATGATGAAGAAAGACTATCCCATCTGTAACTCAAGTAGCCTGAAACCTATGATTCTAAAAAGAGTGGTAGGTTGCTCAAAAGAACCCCGTAAGTGAAATGGCCAGTTGGATAAACAGATTCCAGGAGACCTTGCCAAACATTTTATGTAACATGCGGTTTTGGCAAGGCCTGATCTCTATGAGTTTGCTTTCATCAGGGATACAAAATTTCTAAAACCAGTGACCTTCTTACAGATGTCAAGTGTTATCTGTTTTTCAAGTAATGTCAGTCACTTCTTTCTTCCTACCTGAGATATTTTTGTTTTATTAGCAGGACTTGGATTTTCTTTTTAAGTATAGAATAGCTTCCTTCCATTGTTCTTCAAGAATGTTTCATTGAAACAATACGTGAG